GCCAGTGGGCATTATCGCTGATGCATGGACTTAGCCCGATACACAGTCCATATATTTTGGTCCAAATGACGGAGAAAATCAACATGGAGTGCTTGGGCCCGTCATTAAACGCTGCCCAGGTATTTGCGGCGATTATACAAAACACTTGTGGCCGCTATCCGAAATTAAAAACCAGGAAAAGGCCCCGCAAATCATATAACAATGCGAGTCAAAAGTCAGTCGAAAAAAAGCAAAGATTCCATTTCCCCCATCCGAAAGCCAGCATGTTAGCCACGGATGGCTGCTCCTTTTGCCTCCTCGGCTCATTAGCAAATTATTTTGGCTGTCGTGCTTGTGCAGTGGGAGAAATGCAAATAAATCTGGGATGATCGAATGGCGTGAAATGAATGGATTTTTCATGATATTTTTTAGACAATTAAAAATTCAATACAAATATTATAAAATATTTTAAAAGGAATTCTAAAATATACTCCAAAAAATTATAGGTACTTCCAAATACTAAAATGTTAAGATTTATATTACCATTATGTCACTTTTATGGACCTTATACATATTTCAAATATGTTATAATTTTGAAAGAAATTAATTAATAATAATACCTTTATTTGTGGACAAACTTGTTTAATATGAATCATATCTTAAAAGTATGACCTTAATATTATTAGGGGCTGTCCATATATTACGTAATCACCAAGGGGGGTCAACAAATGATTACTCTAGTGCAAATTTTTTTTTTTTGTATGAAGAATTGATTACATGGGGGGGGGGGTCAAAAATTTCCGAAATTGTGATTACGTAATATATGGACAGCCCCTTACAAGTAATTAACATTTATCAAAGAATTTATACATTAATATTCTACATTCAGTTTTAAAGTTTCTTTTAGATTTCTTTCTGTGTTAAAGCCACGCTTCATTGGAGTTGGGCGGCCAATCCCGGACTTTGGGGCCAAAGACGGACTCGGATTGTCGCCTGGACGGATCACGAAATGTGGGGCCTTCGCTTGGGCAATTCCTTAAGCGTTTTCCATTCCGTTCGAAGCATTTTAATTGTATTTAAATGAATTAGAATGCACTTTTTCGCTTTTAGCTTGGCCGGGCTTTATGATTCATAAATTGTGCCCGGTGACGTTTATAGTCGGTTTGCAGGTTTGTTAACATAATTGAGCACTGCAGATGGAAATCTCGGATGTGGTCTAGTCAGATTGCGATAGGCTATCTCAGCTGGAGATTTGATGTTCACGAGCCAAGTTGGGTCTAAGCCGAGTTCAGATTATGGAGTCATTACCGGGTCTAAGGAGAACGCTTTTGAGCTCGATGTAAGTTTGTTTTATGTATTACCAAAAAAGTTAATTTTTCGTTTCCCACAAAAAAACAAATGTTATTAAGCTGTACTTAATTTAACGAGCATATAAATTACCTATTAATTATTTGTTGTTTACAGACAATATATATTTAATGGGAAATGGCTGTAATAAACGGGCAAATGGTGTATTAATTACAAAAAAGTAGTAATATAGTTTTTGACATGGGGAAATTACAATAAATATTTAAAATATTTATAACATTCGGTAATTTGATTATGGTGCAACTATGGTCTCACTGTGTTTTAAGTATTTTCCTGCCAATGTTTTAACATAAGCAAGAACACCCCTGCCAATTAGCCACATATTATTGACCAACTCCAACTTGTACATACATATATATTTTATTGGTAATGCCATCTCGGTTCCGAGTGACCGAAAATGTTAACCAGACGGGGAAGCATTCGCGGCATTTGTGAGTGAGTTACTACTGCATAACAGTAGTTCGCCGAATGGCATTTTAATTGTCACTTGCCGTTGGTAAATTACACATTATTTATTCGTAGTACTGCCATTAACATTTACCCTGTCATATGGAGCTCTTCGTGGCAATTGTGGCCACAGCTTGGCGATACATTTTCCTATCTTCGCAGGTCATTGCTGGCCACCATGGCGATTGTGCAATTTCATTGTAAGACCACTTTTCATTAACAATCCGGTGGCGAGCAAAAAACGTCAAAATACATCCACGAAGTTGCCAATTAAGATCTCGGTAAATGTTTCCAGTTTGAGTATATCAAAAAGCATATAACTAAATGTTAAGGTTGACTCCGTCTTCGTCTTCGACTGATAAATTGATACACATAAAATTTGGAGCATAAAACTGTCGCTTGGCTGTAAAAAAAACCCAGTCGAATGTGAATTGCTGAATGCAAATGCCAAAATGTGAACTGCCAGCAGCATCATCATCATCTTCTTGATCATCATTGATTTAAGTGGAGTCGACCAGAAACTGTTGCATTTCTGGTTGCTGCTGCGCAAAAAATCCAAAAAAAGTACAGCAAAAAGCACTTGAAATTAAAAGCAAAAAAAATAGGAAAAATAACTGAAGAAACAGCCATAGCATAGAAACTAATACAATAATAAATAGTAGTTAAAGAAAAGAAGATGTTGCCACTGTAGATCGCATCGTCGTCTGCTGCCGATGTTGCTGTTGCTGCTGCATGCAATGCAACAATTTCACAAGCAACACGCAGACAACTAAATGACAATGTGAACAAAGTAGCAACAACAGAGCTGTGGTAGAATTTATAATAAGTAACTCGGTTGCTTCGATCAAGCGGGTTGCGCAAAAAGAAAACGAGCCAGAGGGAGAAAAACAAAAGCTGCTGCCGCCGCAAATCTTCCACTTAATTATAAACTTATTTATTTGGTTAGCTTTGCCGCCGAACTGTCCTAATCAATTTGCTAAGGATGAGGAAATGGCAGCTTGCATCAGTGGGCAATTTCCACGGATTTCCCCAGCGCCAAACTTCACAGCTACCGTGTTAACTTTGACACCACCAACGCAAAAGCACCAAAGCCCCTAAATCGGAGCCCGGATCGGCGGACATAGCCTGGCATTAGCATTAGGTAAGCGGGCTCAATTAACCAGCACGGCAATTGCAATTGCCCAAATTGGCCACCGACTTGACTCCGTCCGTCAGCCGGAGTTCGCAATAAGTGATGCTGCAGCAGGGGTTAACGCTAACTCTCGATTGTAGCTGCCCACGCATGCGCTGAAATGTTAATTCCCGATCCCCAAAACAGAAGGGAACAGTAGGCGAAACTAGATGATATTTTAGAAGTACCGATACGGTACGGTAAAAATGTTAAAAAAGAAATGTTCCGAAATTTTGGAAAAATTTAATTATTTATTATAACAATATTATAATAATTTATTATAAAAAATTCTAGTGTCCCATTAAAATTTTTATTAGGATACGAACATTAAGAATTTTTATAGAAGCCTTCATGAAAAGATTATGTAAAATGTACAACAATTTTAAGGTATAAAAATGGTTTTTTAAATTTGGCTCTACTAAAGCTTTAATAATTTCCTTAAAATTGTTAAATTGTCAAAAAAAGGGTCACAATACACTTTTATAGAAATTGGATGTCATATATGTTAACAAATTTTATTAATGCTAATAAACGATAACTAAACAATACAAAAAATAATCTTTTAAATACAATTTTTATAAATTTAATTATTTATATAAATAAATAACTCACTAAGCTAAATCCATGGTATTCAGCCCACTGTGCCTATGGGCAATTGCAAATGTCAAACGAAAGACTTAAGCAGCGAACTTGCTAGCAGGGGTGGAGTTTCTCGGTTGGCTGGTGTGAGTACTCGTACTGGGCTTGGGTATATTAAATATGCATTGCTAATGCAAATGAAAATGGAAACGCAAATGGAGGCTCGCATCCGATTCGAAAACGCTTGTTAAAAGTAATGCGCCCAATTTGCACAGACACAGAAAGGTTTAAAGTCCCCGAAAAGACAAAACGAGAGACCAAAACCAAAACAAAAGTGCCCTTTAGCCTCGACCAGCCCAAATAGCCATGGCCGGCAGCCAGAAATCCCTCTCCCTGAACCAAGTCTGTGTTTTCCATCTCCGCTTGGTGAGGGCGGACGGCCAATTTAGTGTCACGTTAGCATTTTCGGGGCGCTTCCAGGCGGCAGGCAAATACCCGGGCCGTACCATTAGCCTTAACTTAACTAGCGGTTAGCCACCGACAGGGCCGTCAACGTTCAATTGGCCCCCTGGAAATGTGGGTTCACGGAGAAAAAACTGTGTTTTCTGGGGGAGTTTTACTTAATTCTGGTTCGCAATATAAATGTTACCTATTATTTTGATCCAACTAAAAGCCTAAAACCTTGACGAAGAGGAGATCTAGAAAATATTTATTTAAATTGGTGGGCTTTGTATTTTTCTATTAAAATCTGGGTCAATCTTTTTGGGCCTCACAGGTCTTGGTCCTTAAAATTATATGAATTTTAAAATAAATCTTTAATTTCAGGTATCCCAAAAATCTGTCCTTCAATATTTTTTTTAAAAAGTTCTAAAACACAGGTTAGGGAAAAAAATATCGAATTTCATTAAATATAAACAATTTTAAAATATTCAATATTTAAGAACATAACCGAATATTATGTAAATATTTGTTAAAATAAAAAAAAACTGATTTTAACCTTAAACATTGTATTCTTAAATACTGAAAGTTAATCTTCAAAATTGTTAACTTAACAATAACTTAAGGTAAATTGATGTGGATAAAAATTGGACTAAATAGAAAAATAAATGACTGCATATCTTTATAATTTCTAAAATTAAGAAATAAAAAATATTCAAATTTTGCACTAAATCTTTTGTATAAATAAAGTGATAGGTGGACTTATTCTTATTAATTGTAGGGAAATATCATTTTCTCTCTGTAGTGCTGGATTATTTGGAGAATCGAGGCGGAGAAGCGGTCGCAGACAGACCTTTCTCTTTGTGTTGGTGCTTGGTGCACGACGAGCCGCAAAGGTCGTCTTTGGCTATGACTTCAGAGCTGAGCTCGGAACTCGGGGATCGAAGCTCGGCTCTCGGCCGAGACTCGTCTCTTTTGGCCACGGGATTTATAAATACAAGTGTTGGCCGCACAACGTCAAAGATTCGTTGGCTGAACGTGCAGCAGCGCGCGCGATCTATTAAATCCGATCCCGAAAAGCACCTCCGAAACGGAGCTTTAGCTCCTGGCGAAAAAAAAGGCAGGAAAGCAGACGACGGTAAACCAATCAGTTCATCTCTCATCCAATTTGAAGCGTTACGAATTTCGCGCCAAAAACAATCCAAGGATTACGGGATACGAACTCCAAGTTGAGATTGCCACTCAGACTTTGATTCAGTTTCGGTTTCGCAATTCGCAATTCACAGTTCGCAAATTCGGTTTCAGATTGTGTCGAATCTTCAATTGCATAACTGCAGTAATAATCGCATCGTGTTGTGTGCTTCTTTGGTTCAGTTTGTTGCAGCCGGCAATGCTCGATGCAGATGCAGCAGATGCGGCCATCGTAATCCCAACCGCCTGACAAGGAAAACGAAAACGACTGGGAAAAATAACCCAAGTGACTGTGAAAGTAGCGAACGGCCAGACACAGATTCAGATATTCAATTACTAGTCTGCTGGTGCAGTGACGCCGCACAATGAGAATCCAAATCTTGATCCTGACACTCTTGCTGGGTGAGTAGACATCGAGATCGGCGAAAAAATGCTAAGGACTTTAGGTTTTTTTTATGTTTCTAAAAAATATTTGGCTTTACACCAAAGGTTTCCACATTGGTTGGTTAATATAAGGTTTATTAGAGAAAATTGTACCAGTATGTAGTACCGTAATTTGTTATAGCAATGCATACACATTTTTTATAATTAGCCCAAATATTTAATTTCACCACAGTTAAAAGGTGATTGTTTTATAACTTAACTTAATATACTTTTTGTTAATTGTTTCATTTTTTATAATAACGTCTTTTTTCGAAAAAATTGTTAAATATTAAAGGTAAACGATTTTAGCGGTAACCGATTTGGAAATTTATTACGAACCTTTGAGACTCCATATTTGGACACTTCGTTACTGTTTCTCTAAAAGAAATGTGATAAATTTGACCCGAATTCTGTCCAAAGAGATTTCTGTGTCACCGCCGATAAACAAGGCCATAATAAAAAAAATTCTAAATTTAATATTAACCATATTTATTAAACTAAAATATTAGTACTTAAAAATCTACCTTCAAAAACTATAAAATCCAAAAAGTTTGCAAAAATAGGACAAGCTTGAATTTTTTCAAAGTACAAAAATGAATATCCAACCAATAAATCAGTTTATTAACATCCAATTAAATCCAACAAAACCAAAACTTTTTTGAGCACTAGAATAAATTGTATTTCCCACAAGCGTTAATCTTAAACATCGCTACTAACGACACCTAACACCTATCCTCCCACACAGGCCTCGTCTGCACCCGGGCCGTGGATGCGGAGGCCAAGAGCAGCCAAGACAGCAGCATCAGTCGGGCGGCGGAAGACAGCAAGAGCTCCGCCTCCACGCCACTGGAATCGGAGGCGACCAAAGACAAGCGACAGGTGAGCGCCAAGGAGACGCCTCTGTACCCCAACCACCGCAGCTCGGAGGCATCGCCATCCGGCAGCGATGATCCCGAAGACGGACAGGAGACGATCTACGGCTCCAAGCCGAATCAGTTCATCATCCGCCCCATTGCCCCGCATCAACACCAGCAACATGAATCCCACCAGGAGCCCCAGCTGAGGAACTTCGCCGCCGCCAATTCCCGACCTCATGCCGCCCAATTGCTCGAGCAGAGCCAGGAGGTGAGTTTGGCTATCTAGTTTTTAGCTAGCCCCAACAGATTTCACATTTTTGATATATTTAATTTTTCATTAAACATTTAAATAGGGGAATTAAATTGTAAAATCATTTTATTTTGGTAATTTCGCCATATTTTTTTTAAAATATCAATATATTAATATTATACAAAAGATCTTGAATATATTTCTGGAATAGCTATATTATTATTTTGGTTTTAATAATTATTTTTAAAACAAAAGAAACATAAGAAATAATATTGGCTAAGGCTTAGTAGGGGAGAGTGGGGGAATTTCGTCACAGGGGGAATTTCGTCACCTGCAATATCTCGGAATCCATAAGTCGTAAAAATATATAATTTTTTTGTTTTAGTCCTTCAAGACGGCCAGACACAACCAATGCATTTGTTTTGCACAGAAGGCCAAGATAATTAAGCTATAATATTAAATGTGTTTTAACAGTTCAAAAGCTACATTTAGTTCTCGACGAAATTTTTCTGTATGCCACAATTCAAAAGGAATAAGATACACGATTTTTATATAATACACAGTGCTATAATGTGCATTTCTGCGTCAGTGATTTTTAACTTCGCGCCTAATTTCGCAAGAAAAATAATTATTTCTAAAAAGTACGGTCTGGGAAATTTCGCCACCCTACGCTAAGGGTAAATTCGCACCTATTTTAAATACATATTTTTATATTTGACGAGCTGGCTAACGAACAGACTACCAGCAGCAGCAACAAATATAGGACGTCAACAAAAATGGTACGCTTGATCAGTGTAGCATATTTTCAGGCGTTAAACTCCCTACATTTTTCAGGTGACGAAATTTCCCCAGTTGTGTGGTGATTTTACCCCCTGTGTGGTGAGATTGCCCCAGTATATTGGTTTTACATTTTATTTTTTTATAAATCACCAAGCTAATTAAAAAAATAGGGAATGTCACATTTTAAAGCTTGGTGCTAACCGCATTCAACAATAAAAATAGAAATATGATAACGTGTCTCAAGATGGACAAAAAATAGCTTTGAAAAAATGCTGACGAAATTCCCCCACTCTCCCCTACTCAACCCAACAAAAAGTCGTCCAAAACAAAAAACTTCATATGAAAAACAACGTCAAAAAATTTTGTTTCAAATGAAGTTTTTGTTTTGGACGACTTTTTGTTGGGTTGAGTACTAGCCCTCAAATGGAAACAGAAAGCTGATAGAGGATTCTAATAGATCTTTAAAAATTAGTTCAGAGTGTAAATTAATTTCTTTATTGTGGAAAAATAGTATTTTGTTATTATCAACAGAATTGATAATATCAATTTGATATAACTATACTATACAATATATTTTGGTTCCTCTTAAATGAATTGAATTTCGAACTATTTATAAATTTACAATAAAAAGAAATTCGAATTTTTAGGGACCGCCCAAGTTAGGCTCAAAGGTTCCTCCACTTAAGAAGTATCTGTAGCGAGGTCAGAACCTTTTTTATTAGAGTTGGCGTCTGAGACCCCACCCAAATCTTTGCGTGCTGCCCAGGGGAGTGGGTGATCTGACTGGCCAACTGACGAATTACCTTTGTCATGAGGGATTGCAGCGTCTGTTTGTTTTGTGCCAATCGGGGGGCGTTCCATCGACATGGCGGCTCTTGTCCGGGGTTTTGACTTGGCCCGCGGCCATCAGACGGCGGACAGCGGACATTGGACATCGGACGAGCTGGCATCGTGACTTGGCATCGGCGGCAGCCACACGATTCTTTGCAAAATGCCGGATGTAAACATCTCGGCGAGCAGCAGACATAAAAGGCAAAAGCCAAAAGGCCCGATCCCAAGTCCCAGACGGATTTTGTCAAATTCTCCCTTTCGCCGACGAGGCCGAGAAACCTTGACCAATATCTTGACGGCTTATATTCGGAACAAATTGCAATTGCGGCAGACAAAGGCGATTGCAATTAGCCAAAGACAATGTTTATGTTGCAAAATGTATAGAAATTAAAAGCGCCGGCAAAAGTAATAATAATGATATTTTTATTATAAATGCAATTGGCAAAACTAAGTCACGACATGACGGCAACGGCGACGGCGACAGCAACAAATGCATAATTGCAAAATTATTATTTGTCTTATTACGCGTCAACACAACAATTTCCACCTCCCTTTCAACTCGAATTTCCACCATTCGGATTCGCCACTGGCTTCTTCTTCTTTTCTGTCTTCCCCCCGGGGTCTTCAGTTGGGTCTTAGTCTTAGTATTATAATAATGCAAGACATCGGAACACCGTGGAAACACAATGGCGCTTGTCGTGGGAAGAAAGTTGACATAATGTTATAATCACCCCACTTTTGGTCTGTCAGCTTTGTGTCGCTTGATGGCGCCTTGACTTGCCGGCGGCTTTATTTGCCATAATAATGGGAACCATTGATGCCACACTATGCAGCAGGTTTTGAAAAGAATTCAGGGGTTTTCCATATCTTCCGATTTCATTTTTCTTAAAATTAAATATCTAAAGTTTTTATTTTAAAAAGTATAGTATTTGAAATGTTGCTGAATTTATGAACAGTATTACCTGAAGAGTATGATTTTAAAATAGATTTTCTTGAAAGCTATTCAAATATTAGAACTGGTGTACATTTTAAACAGCAATATAGACTTTTTAAGAATGAGTCAAGATCTTGATGATTCGAGATCTTAACTTGCACTGAAGAAGTAATCATGATAATTATTTTTTTCATTTATTATTAAAAAACAATACATTTATAAAATATTCCTTTTTGCAAATTATTTAACTCCTTTTAATACATTGGCACTTAGCATCCTTTTTAAAGCATCGGTCTTTCCTTTGATCTCTTTATAAGGCCCATCCCCACACAAACGGTTCCTTTTACGGCGATCCCTTGTTGCCCAGTGTAATGTTTGTTGTTCATGTTGCAACATCGAAGAGCCAAAGCCGTTGTGGTTGTTGCTTTTTGGTGTTGGCGTTGCCAAAGTTTGCCACAAGTGTTATATAAACTCATTTTTTAGATGCCACGCCATTCTCACAGCGTTTGCTGCTCTGCAGCACCTGCAACATGTTGTTGCCTCTGTGGTTTTCGCTACGTTTTTCTAGGTTTTTTCTTTCATAAAGATAATAGTGGTGGTGTTGGTCATGTGGCTCCACTTTAAACGGCTGCTGACATTGGCCGCCGGCTGAATGTTGGCAGTTCACACACCCACTAACTATAATTATTCGCCCCCACTCACTTTTCCCATCCGTCTGCGTATCTCGAAGGTGCAGCACTACGTGTATCTGCAAGATATAATGCGCCATCATCAGCCCAAGGCCCTGGTGGCCGCAGGTCAAGGCAAGGGAGCGGCCAGTGCGCCCAAGAAGACGTCCACTCCGGTGGCCGAGGAGGAACAGGAACAGGAGCAGGAGGCGGAGCAGCGCTATGCGGTGTCCATTCAGCCGCAGCCACAGCACCAGCAGCCACGTCCTCGTCAGTATCAGGGAGTGGGTGGTCCCTATCAATTGCCCCTGCCTCTGCCGGCTCCACAGCATCACTCGGTGAATCCCCAGCAGCAGCAGCAACATCAGCAGGTGGGTCAAAATCATTATTAAAGATCAATTTTAATTTGATTTGTGGCCTGGTAAATTTTACCTGATCGAAAAGAGTATTTTATGTAAAAAGATATCAACATTATTTAAGATCCATTTTAATTTGATATGTGGCCAGGTAAACTGGTCGAAAAAAGTATTTCATGTAAAAACGATATTAAAATTATTCAAGATCAATTTTAATTTGATATGTGGCCAGGTAAATTTGACCTGGTCGAAAAGAGTATTTCATGTAAAAACAATATTAACTTTATTTGAGATCAATTTTAATTTGATATGTGGCCAGGTAAATTTGACCTGGTCGAAAAGAGTATTTCATGTAAAAACGATATGGGGCTTTTGCATGACCTGTAAATTTACATGGCCTTATCGATTTTACGGGAACACGTAATTTTTTTGTGTGCATTAAGATATCATATTAAAGTTTTCTATTTCTCAAAAGCCCTACCAGGTAATCCCCGAAGAGCAGTTCCTTAAGCTCCTTGAGGAAGAGCTGCAGGCGAGGGCCTACCACGAGCAACTTCGCCAGCAGCAGCAGCAACATCATCAGCAGCAGCAACATCATCAACAGCAACAGCAACATCATCAGCAGCAGCAACCGAAACCCCTGCCCATCCACAGCACAGCTGCCACCCACAAGGTGCTCCAACAGGCGGATCCCTCCCTGGGATTGGGTGGCTATCGCGAGCGCTTTGTGGCCGAGCAAGAACTGGTGACTCCCACCTACTCGCATCCCCGCGGTGGTCCCAAGTACCTGCCCCTGCCGCAGTCGCAGCAGATCCAAGAGGATGAGGAGCCCCAGCAGCAGCAACCGCAACGTGTGCAGCTCCACAAGCCAATACCGCATCCGGGTCAGCAGCTCATTCATGGACTGCCACCGCAGATTGCCTACTACCAGCCGCAGATTAGCTACAAGACGCTGCCCAATCATCCGCTGGCCAAATCCTCGCTGGAAAGCGAGATTGAAAAATTGCTGGCGGCCAATAAGCCGGGACAATCGTTGACCTACATGGACAGCAGCAGCGGCAGCAATGAGCAGCACCCACCGCCACCCACCTCGCATCCGGCGCTGCGGCAACCCAAGGCCTACCTGGCCAGCACACCCAACTCCCTGCTGGATGCGAATAACCAGCCGTTTGTCCCATCGCTCTTCAAGTTCAGCAACTACCAGCAACCGACGCCTATTTATCCCACGCCGGAACCCAAGCGCCTGGGTCCCGTGGTCTATCCCACGCAGCAGAGCAATCAGCCGCAGCCATCGCAGTATTACTACCAGGAGGCCACTCCAACGGGAGCACCCAAGCCGAGCCCGCTGCCCAAGCAGTATCATCGCTCGAAGCACTACAAGTTGTCCTCGCCCTCGAAGGCGCTGCTCTACGCGGATTACGATCGCCCGCATGGATCGCCATCTCCTCCTCCGCCGCCACAAGCGAATTTCTATCCCAGTCCACCGGATCCGATAAAGCATGCCCAGCGCGTAACACCCACTGCTCTGCCGCTTCACGCTGAGTATCCTTCTCCAGCCCCATCACAATCCAGCATCTATGTCTCGCAGGGCACGGGCATTGCCACCCCATCCCGGGCCACGCCCACGCCCACAGCTCCGATTCAGAAGCTCCGGACTCTGGATGAAGTGAAGCAATTGAACCTGCCTCCCCCGAATGGCAAACCCCTCACCCAGGCCGAGTTCCAGGCTCTCGTGGATGCCGGTTATCCCGTGAAGGCGGTGCCCGTTCCAGTTCCCGTTCCATATGAACAGTACGTCAAGGATCATCCGGAGTATCGCAATCATCCGCCTGTAGACTATGCCCACATCATGCGGCTGGCTACGCGGCAACTGGCTGCCCATCAGCAACACAGATCGCTGGCCGCTCCCTCGGAGCCGTCGGTCAAGATCCTGTCCACTCCGTCCGCCGGCGAGCTGCATCAGCAGACTGCGACGGGAATTGGCGGCGGTAGCATCACCTACTTGCAGCCCATCGAGGGTCAATCGCCGCATCCCCATGCTTTGGCCCATGTCCATGCGCTGCAGAAGAGGAGGCCGCGCGATGAGCAGGACACCGCCGTGGCGGGCAGCGAGCCCAAGGCGGCGGAGGCTACGGAGGCTCAGGAGACCGCCAAGGCGAAGGTGAAGGTGCAGTGAACCCACGTCCTGTTTTAGTTAAAATGTCCTTGCCTAGTTTGTAAGTATTGTAAAAATGTTTCAGCACTTCCTTAATGTTAAATTATAAACCGACAAATAAAACGATGAGAAACTAACAAATAAAGGTGAAACCTATTATAAAACAAAAGAGAGAACTCAGCTAAAAGGAGTGCGAGGGAGATGCAGATCTAAAATTTTGTTCGGGCATAACTTTTTAACGAATGGTCCGATTTGAAAAATTTCTTCTACATTTCAATAGGTATAAATAAACGCAACAAAATTACATGTATACTTTTCGGAAATCTTTAAAGGTTTGGGCGTCAGGCACATTTTAAAATCGTTTGTGGTCGTTCGAGAGAGCGTGACGCTCGGACGAAATAATCTTGCGCTGCGTAGGAAGCCCAAGAATATGTGTGGGTAATCCCAACTTTCTAGCTTTTGTAGTTTCCGAGATCTCAGCGTTGATACAGACAGACGGACATGGCTATATCGACTCGTTACTCTACGAGTAAGGGGTATAATGAGTGTATCTATGGGAATTTTCCAAGCAATACCCATAACTTCCTTGTTATAACTAGTTTTAGCTTTATTTTCCCACCTATCCCTCTTCAGATAGCCGCTGCATCTGGAACCCTCACTTAGTTAAGGTTCATGGGCGGCAGGCTGTTGCTGTTGCTACTGTCCGCCGAGCTGAGCGTGTCGGGTGTGGCTGTTTCTTTGGCCTGCAGGCGCGATATCTGCGGATCCCGCTTGTCCTTATCCTTGCGCTCGCGATCCTTATCCTTGTCCTTGTTGTGCTTATGCTTGTGCTTGTGCTTATGCTTCTTCTTGTCCTTCTTCTTTTTCTTCTTGAGCAGACCATCGCCCGACTTGAACTTGCCCTCCTCGTAGCTGCTCTCGTATCTCGTGGAATCGCCCACGTCCAGCATTATGGAGGAGTTATCATCCTCGGCGTAGATTTCGGTCTTGAGGCGCTTGGTCACCTGATGCGATTCGGGTGCCTCGTCATCGGCCGGCAGAATATTCACCTTGGTCTCGCTATCATAGGCCTGAACGTTGACTGGTTCATCCAGCACGGTGATCTCCTCGCTGCGCTCCAGCTTGATAATCTCATCGCCCACCTCGAAGGCTTCTGTGGCCGTTCGCTTGATCGTAACCAAGGCGGGCTTGTGCCGCTCCTGCGGCTCAATATCCATTAGTGGTGGCGGCGGCGGTTTGGAATCGCTGGTCTTCTTAAAACTGCCGGTCACACTACTTGCACTGCCACCATTATCCTTCATCAAATCCTTGTAGAAGCTCTGGTTCTCACCGGCCTGCAAACAACTCGGCCGCTTGCTCCCATACAAAGCGTAGTACAAGTCCACGATATCGCAACGCAGCTTGGTGTCGTAGGCCAGCGTGTTGATGCTGAACCACAGGCGATCCACCAGATTCGGTTTATCCAGCCGGCTGCGAGATTCGCGGGTGAAGGGCGTATTGTTTATTAAGAGTTGAGCCAGCGCATGGCGGGCAGCCGGATCGGGATCCGTTTCGAGCAGCGTGATCAAATGCTCCAGATCCTCGCTACGTCCATCAACCTTTACAAAGTCCACCAGACACTCCATGGCCGCAATGCGGAGATCTAAATAAATACCATATTCCGCATAGCTGCGGTAAATGTGAGGGAGTGAGGGCAGGTGACCGAACTTCTGTAGCTTTCGGATGACCTTCAGGCAGGAAACGGAAACCATGTACTTGTACGACGGCAGGTGCTTCTCCATGTTCAGCAGACGCGTGACTTCGTCGAGCACTAATCTGGAGTTCAAAATTTAATTAATAAAAATCTACTAACGTTTAACTTTCCGAACTTACTTTGCATCTGTAGAAAGACTGTCTGTGGTGATCTGAGTGCCGTGGATGGCAACGGAGACCACAGGTGTTAGTGTTTCGCCCAGAGCTTCCACTAAAGCCGCTCTGTAGTAGGCATCCGTGTAATGGTTACGCGAATTCTCATTGTACTTGAAGAGATCGAAGAGGAAACGCATCACTTCCGGCGGACAGATTCCATGTGAGGTTCGGAGACCTGTAAAAGGATTCAAAAATTAATAAAATATACAAAACAATTAACAGCTTTCAATTTTACCCGCCATTGCCACGGGAATCGCCTTCTGCAGGAAGTACAGCTGGAAGTTGGAAAAGTTATTCAGCTTGATGATGTGCGGAGCACTAAAGGAGCCAAAGAATTTCCTGAATATGTTCAGCATGGCGGGTGGGCCACTCCAGGAGGCCACCATCTGGTTGGCCACTTTGGTCAGGCTGTGGGCCGCCTCGCAGCGTACTTGGTAGAAGCAACGCTCGCTCTCGATAGTGTCCGTTAAGGCGAGCCTGGTGGCATTCGTTGGATACTTCTGCAGGGCCTGAATGGCCTGAAATTGGGCCGTAACATCGCGCTCATGGCGAAGCTGATACTGCCACTGGAAGTCGGGCTGCTCAATGATCAGATCACGCAGCAAAATCATCTCCGGATCGAGGCGAATCCACAGCACAGGTGAGTCGCTACAAAAATAATTTATTAAATGGATTTTTTTTACGATATATTTCTGTAAAAACTTACTCCATGGCTGATAAATCCATGTCCACCTCCTCGCCGGTGCACAAAGGGATTTTCTTTTTCTTATTACGCCTACTTTTCGAGTGACAAGTGATATCCGCCTTCACCAGGGTATTTTCAATCTGCAGCGTGTGCTTGAAAGTTCCGTCCAATTCCTGCAGTTGCACCAGCAAAGGACCATTGTACTTCCTCACTCCCCGCTGATTAACGAAATCCTGACGGATCTCCAGTTCGATTGTGTTCCTCTTGCGATTAAAGACCGATGTGAGCGAGAACTTGGCATGGCCTCCAGTGCGCACCCACTGGTCCATGAATACAGACATATCCTTGCCCGTCACCGTAAAGATTGCCTTGATGAAAATGTTGGTGGAGATGAGCAACTGAGACCACAGTCCTGCCCCTATTTTCGTGGACGCCGCATTGGTTGCCAATGCCAGTTGTTTGTTAAACACCTGAATGAGCAGCTCCTGGCCAATTCTATGCTCCAGCATCCGGATAACCAAGTGAGCCTTCCTGCGCATCGCTTCCACATATTTCGGCGACACAGTGTGCAAACTCTTGATGGGGAAATAGTGGACAATTTCCTGCTGCTTGCTGGCGGCAGTCGATGGATTTGTGCCAGAAACAGGCAAAGGAGCTGGAGGCTGGCTGCAATCGAGGATGATGCCGCCGTATTGCTCTTCATACCGAACCACTCGCGCCAATTCTGATTGCACCCAGGCGCGGTACTCGTTGTTGCCGAAGCACTTCCTCGAATACAATCCACACAGATACTCCGCAATGCCCTTGGCCAGCCAGGTGTCCGACCAGTGATGCGAGGTGATGAAGCAACCGAAGAACTGCTCGGCCACGGCACGCGACATAAAGGTTCGAGATACATAGGTTTGATCGATGATCGCTATCGAGTGCAGCAGATTCACCGAGGCGATGCTCATGGTGGCATACGCACTGATGTCCGTGTCCAACTCGTCTACAAACACCTGTTTGTAGCAGGAGAACGGATAGCGCGTGGACAAAGTCTCCTCGAAGAACTCGAAGGCCTCGTGCAGGTAGCGAACCGTATTCTTCAGCAGCGGCAGCATTCCGGGCAGGCAAAAGTGGGTCACCTCGTGCATATGCGGATCCACGTAGATCTCGAACTGACCCACAGCCAGCGCGATATTCGGGGCACACACAGGAGTGGTTACTGTATAGTGAAAGGTTTTCTTCCTTAGATCCGGGGTCATAATGACTTCCACTAGCTCTCCACACGAAACAGCCGTCAGATTCTTGTCCACCGTGAACTCCAGCCGCCAGGTGCACGGATCCGCAAAGCTATCCACGCAGGGAAACCACAAACGCGTGGAGTTCTCATAGCAATTGGTGAACATATGCGAGCAGTTCATCTGCGACTCCTCATCCGTGGATGCTGGCGGTATGACGAAATGGACGCCGCTCTTGGGACTCTCCAGTGAGAATTCGATGCGGATGCGCAGACCCTGACCCTCCTGGATCATCGAGTAGCCCTCGGGGGGAACCTGGATCATCAGCTCGCCGTTGTTCGCATCCGGATCGGTGATCTGGGCGGCGTTCAGATGGTGCTTGGAGTAGACCTCCAGCACGCGGCTCTTAGGATCCTTGTGCGAGATGTCCTGGAAGGGATCGAAGTAGATGAACTCCGCCTGGCAGACATCGTTCAAAACGACGCTGTAGATCCTCAGTTGCTTCGCGTTTAGACGGATGAGTCGTAGATTTTCACTATTTGGTACAATGGTTAGCTCGACCACGCCCTAAAAGGGGAAGGTATTAGCATAAGTCACCTATATATTAGTTTATATCCTTACTATAATGCTCCTCCGCTCGAAACTGATGCCCGTGAGACTCACAACCTGATGCGCCGTGTTGGCGGAGGGAGAAAATGCGTTATTTTGGGTTTTCTGAATGATCCGGGGGAATACTTATAGTTTAAACGGACGCAGCGGCACCTCGGGCACCTCAGGTTGTGTTTCCATCGCTCAATTGCCGGTTCTTCTCCAGATTTTCTCAAATAATTTTCGTTTGTTATCAAAAACACTGTTTAACTTCTTCTTCTTCTCTATGTGAATGCCGACAGGGCTAAAAATACCAAATGTTAATTGCGGTGTGATGGCAACTCTGCGAGGTGATGCAGCCCTGGGCCCTTAGTTTAACCCTTATGTGGTGCCGGGGGTTTAGAATTCACTACTTTTTAATAATAAGAAGTAATTTATTAGGCTGTGTTATTATTATTCCCAAATTATTGTTTATTAATTAAAAAAAATAAGACATTAAAACCAGAAGAAAAAAAGCAATATGTAGTTAATCTGTATTGAAAGTATTTTACTATAACAATTAAATAAAATAAACAATTTATCTCTAATTTTAAATTAAACTAAGAAATATTTTAAATCTAGTTAAGCTTTTAGGAAGTGCCCTAAATAACTACCCTCCATTCAACTCGTCACTTGAACCAAAAAAAATCCGCGCCCACAAGGGTTAAAGATTATGAATCATTTACCGAGAAAGTTAAATTTGGATACTTCTCCCATTTAATAAAGCGTACGATTCCCAGCGAGTCAGCAGTTTTACCACGGCAGCGAGTTAATCAACATCTGGATACAGCTAGATCGGTAGTTTTAGTCGATTTGCAACGCCATTAGAACGTAGAATTGGGAAAAACCCGTGCGTGGAAGAGGAAAAGCCAGTGAAAATGTACGGCATTGATAATTACCCCAAGAATTATCATGCCAGTGGCATTGGCCTTGTCAACCTGGCGGCCTTGGGCTACAGCAAGAATGAAGTCAGCAACGAGGGAGCAGGAGGAGCCCCCAAGCCCAAGGCGGGTCTCTACCCCTCGCTGCCCTATCCCTCATCGGAATCCGTGGGCGGAATGCCATATGTGGTGAAGCAGACGAGTCACGCCCAGAATGCCTCGTACCCGGGAACCGGAATGGGCATGGGAATGCCCGTGCCCGGAGCACCAGCTCCCTATCCCAGTGCCACGCCATATCCGGCAGCCGGACTCTATCCCAGTTTGCCCTCCGCCAATTCAGGAGCATCGCTGCCGTATCCCAGTGCTCCCATGGCGCCCTATCCAACTGGAATGCCCTACGGAGGCATGCCGCAGCCCAATCTTCCCTATCCGGCTGCTCCACTAGCCCCTTATCCAACGGCCATGCCCGGTTTCCCCAGCATGCCAATGCCGTATGCGCCCTTGCCAACGAGTCCGGCTCCCCAGCAGCAACACGGCGGCGGCGGAGGATTCCCAGCTCTGCCATATCCCACGGCTCCGCCACCGGCCAGTGCTCCCACCCAGGAGGAGGAGCCCTCCGTGGGCATTGCCGAGCTGAGCTTCACCAGCGTCAAGGTGCCGGAGAATCAGAATATGTTCTGGATGGGTCGCAAGGCCACCAGTACGCGGCAGAATAGCGTCAGCAAGGGTGATTTCGAATCCCTTCGCGCCAGCTGCGTGGCCAATGGCACCATGTTCGAGGATCCCGACTTTCCGGCCACCAATGCCTCGCTGATGTATTCCCGGCGACCCGATCGCTACTACGAGTGGCTCCGTCCGGGCGATATCGTCGATGATCCGCAGTTCTTTGTGGAGGGCTACTCGCGGTTCGATGTCCAGCAAGGAGAACTTGGTGATTGGTAAGATAAAATATAAACTTTTATAGGAACAACCTAAAATATTCCTTTACAGCTGGCTCCTGGCTGCCGCAGCCAATCTCACGCAGGACTCGACGCTGTTCTTCCGCGTTATCCCTCCGGATCAGGACTTCCAGGAGAACTACGCTGGCATCTTCCACTTCAAGTTCTGGCAGTATGGCAAGTGGGTGGAGGTGGTCATCGATGATCGGTTGCCTACTTATAATGGCGAACTAATCTACATGCACTCCACGGAGAAAAACGAATTCTGGAGCGCCCTGCTAGAGAAGGCCTACGCCAAGCTCCATGGATCCTATGAAGCTCTCAAGGGTAAGATATTAGAATTTGTTATCTACTTTTTAAAAATAATGTAGAGCAACTTTGTGGCGCAACAAAATTTATTTAAAGTTCCGTTCTAAAAATACAAAGTGCTTATCATAGGTTAGCCATTAAAATGAATATTAAAGTGGCACATTTTGTGGTTGGAATAGTGATATTAAATTTCTTTGAAACTAAACTAAAATTAATCTTTAACCATTTCTACTCCAATTTCAGGCGGCACCACCTGCGAGGCCATGGAGGACTTCACCGGCGGCGTCACCGAGTGGTATGACATCAAGGAGGCTCCTCCAAATCTATTCAGCATCATGATGAAGGCCGCCGAGCGCGGTTCGATGATGGGCTGCTCTTTGGAGCCCGATCCCCATGTTCTGGAGGCGGAGACGCCTCAGGGTCTGATTCGCGGACACGCCTACTCCATTACCAAGGTCTGCCTCATGGACATCTCGACTCCGAATCGGCAGGGCAAGTTGCCCATGATCCGCATGCGTAATCCCTGGGGCAACGATGCCGAGTGGAGCGGTCCGTGGAGCGACAGCTCGCCGGAGTGGCGCTTTATTCCGGAGCACACGAAGGAGGAGATTGGCCTGAACTTTGACCGGGACGGCGAGTTCTGGATGTCCTTCCAGGACTTCCTCAACCACTTTGATCGTGTGGAGATCTGTAACTTATCGCCCGACTCGCTGACGGAGGATCAGCAGCATAGCTCTCGTCGCAAGTGGGAGATGTCCATGTTCGAGGGCGAGTGGACTTCGGGCGTAACGGCCGGAGGTTGCCGCAACTTCCTGGAGACCTTCTGGCACAATCCGCAGTACATCATATCGCTGGAGGATCCCGACGACGAGGATGACGACGGCAAGTGCACGGCCATTGTGGCCCTGATGCAGAAGAATCGACGCAGCAAGCGCAACGTGGGCATTGACTGCCTGACCATTGGATTTGCTATTTATCACCTGACGGACAGGGACATGCAGGTGAAGCCGCAGGGCCTGAACTTCTTCAAGTACCGCGCTTCAGTGGCCCGATCTCCGCATTTCATCAACACGCGCGAGGTGTGCGCGAGGTTCAAGTTGCCTCCTGGTCACTACCTCATCGTTCCTTCGACTTTCGATCCGAACGAGGAGGGCGAGTTCATCATTCGCGTCTTCTCGGAGACGATGAACAACATGGAGGAGAACGACGACGAGGTGGGCTTTGGCGAGACCGATGACCGCATTGCTCCAGCTCTGCCGCCGCCAACGCCCAAGGAGGAGGACGACCCGCAGCGCATTGCCCTGCGTCGCCTGTTCGACAGCGTGGCGGGTAGCGATGAGGAGGTCGACTGGCAGGAGCTTAAGCGCATTTTGGACCACTCGATGAGGGATGTAATGGTGGGCACGGATGGCTTCTCCAAGGATGCCGTGCGTTCGATGGTGGCCATGCTGGACAAGGATCGCTCCGGTCGCCTGGGCTTCGAGGAGTTCGAGGCCCTGCTCACCGATATTGCCAAGTGGCGGGCGGTCTTTAAGCTATACGACACCCGTCGCACTGGCAGCATCGATGGCTTCCATCTGCGCGGAGCGCTCAATTCGGCTGGCTACCATCTGAACAACCGGCTCCTGAATGCCCTGGCCCATCGCTACGGCTCGCGGGAGGGACAGATACCCTTCGACGATTTCCTCATGTGCGCCATCAAGGTGAGGACCTTCATCGAGATGTTCCGCGAAAGGGACACGGATAATTCGGATACGGCCTTCTTCAATCTGGACGACTGGCTGGAGCGAACAATTTACTCTTAAATTAACTGCAATTGATACTAATCTAATCCTAAGTGCCACGAATACTTAACCTGTGCATTATACTTTTCATGCATGATATAAGCAAAGCAACATGACGATTCAGCCCGGAGATCGGGTGAGATACACTCACTTAGCCAACAAGAGAATCTTATCGGATGACCAAATCCGGAAATACAACATCATGGCGAAATTGGAGTGGCCTTGGAATGGCACGAGGTTTCCTCTACACGATGAACGATATAAAAACAATCTACACTATAGATTTTATACTATACGGAGCCACTGGAGGGATGACTAAGAGCGAGCATCAATAAAATATGAGCCGGAAATTTGCTAGTACAAACTGAAGAGTGCATTATTACCTTACACTTGCTCCGAGACACTCGGAAAGCCATTAATACGCATCAACAATATTTATAAGATAAACGGAATGAATAAGCATGTATTTTTGTAACATTGTAATCTCTGAACCGCCACACTACACATATGTATGATCAGGTGCTACAACTTAATTCGACCAGACTCAGTTGTCCAAACAAACGTTGTTATTGCTGTTGTTATATCAGGGAAGTAAAGCAAATCGAACAGATCCAATCACAATCGAATAATTATAAGCAAACATCAGTAAATTTATTGAATTACATATATCAAAAGTTGTACTACCCGTATAATTTGTATTTAGTTTTTTGATCAACTACCTTTAGGCACCCTCTTCATCAAAATTAGAATTTTCTAAATGTTAAACTAACTTTAATTAACCTATTGGGATAAGAGGCTTTTGTTGGACGCTTTTATACTATGCTATAATTTTTGTAAACAATTTAACTAATCAAAATTATTTATCTTTATGTAATGTTACTGTCGAAAATTTAATTGTTGTTTGTCTTTTTGTATGTAAATAAATAAACTGCAGCGATGCACTAGAACATCTATTTGACGGCTATGACCACATCGGCACCATTCGGGATTCCAGCATCAATCATTACCTGCTTCATGTCATCTATAAGTATATCGTTATCAGAGGCTAAGCTATTTAGAACCTCCAGAAAGTCTTCGTATTCTAAGCGCCATTTTCTAGGAAGATTATTTAATTTAAAAAATTTTTCTAGATAATATCTACTTACTTGTATCGCATGTAGATGAGACCCGTTTGGGTTCGTGTAATAGGATTTGGCATAAGTTTGGCCTGCTCTAGCCAAGCATCCAGTTGTGAGAGGAGTATGCTGTCGAACACCTCGTTTTCTATATCCGTAGGTATAACCTGCCGTCGAATAATTCTCCTTTTGGATAATACCATCAATTAACTGATTTATCTTACCTGGAAGTTGCAATACACCGCGAACAGAGAGTCCAGCGTGTGCTTCTTTGGTTTATCTTCATCATCGGCCATGGTGAATTTTTCGCTTAGTAGTGCATAAAATCGAATGTGTACAAATAAAAATTGTGCTTTCTGGCAGATAAAGAAAAGTATTCTATGTGGGTGTCGAGACTATGTATGTATTTCGAATTGTTTTGTTGATAAACAAAGCGCCCAGAGAATTGGTAGCTATATTATCTAGACGACTGTTGCCATGGGCACGCGCGTCGTTTTATTATTGTTTATTGTGGAAGTCTTGAACGATACGTTGGACGTATAATGCTAACTTTGGGTTCCAAACCCCGAGTCTTATATTCTTTACTCCATATGGCGGTTCTATGATCAACTGATGCAATATAGTGATGCCCACAGTGTCTCCTTGGGTTTGCCACTTTGACTGCGGGATCACCGAAAAGTTTGACCATCAGCCTAAATAGAGCTTGACCAAAAGGCGACGCCTGGGGATGGTAGCTCCGGCAGGAAATGGAACGATGTTCAATTGCTCGTAGGAAGCGCTCTTGAAGCTACAAAGGAACATGATTCGATATATCATCAAAATATAACCACAAAAGACTGTACCACTTTGATATTGATCGGTTCGGGGGGTTGAATATGTTCCAAAGGCAGCTTTTCCTTGATAATCTCAATGTCTATGCACAGTGCAAGATTGATAATGGTTAAGTTGTAGAAAATCTGTTGGTCACCACCGCCTTTGCTGGATGGGCACTTCATCATAAGCATTTTAACGCCGAGATCAAAAGAAATCACCTGGGGATTACATTTATTATATAATTTATTATATCACTAATTTAAAAATAAAAAAATATACATACCTCTCCCAAAATACTATCGCCAAAACAAGTCTTGCAGCAAACTATAGATCCCACGGTGAAGCAAGGAGCCAAGGACGACATTTCGGAAAATCAAGCTTGGAGCTGAGAGATAAATGCTGAACATCAAATTGATTGTGCCAACCCAAAAAAGATGACAAGTTCAAGGCATTCTCCGTTTTCTAAAGCTTTGCCAATGCTGTCGCCAAAAAAAAAGTCCGCTACGCTTGTGGTTTTATTTCTTTTTATTTACAGTGTATGTATGCTAATTTATAATGTACTAAATATAAATGTTGTATATATATATTTCAAAAGTAAACCGTTCCTTTTAATCATATATATATATTCAATTTCGCAGTTTAGCAGTTGCTGTCTAAATTGTTGTTTCTGCATGAGCGTTGCTTGTTCTCTGTTGTTCAAGAAGTGTTGCCTTGTTTATTATTTTCATTATAATTATGTATGTGTGGCATATATATGCGCGTATGTATGTACCTTCATTTAGCACTATTAGCATACCCTTTAAATTATGTCTAACGCCAAAGGACAAAGCGCTTGCTTCTGCCTCGGCGGGAACTGAGAAGAGTGCATTGGATAAATTCTTAGCAACACAAAATTCAAAGCGTATCAACGAATACGAGAAGAATAAATACCGAAATAGTTGCAGGACAGGCACAAACGGATAACAAATCGGACACTTAAACAACAAAACTGTACAATCTCTAAAATGTGGCCTGAAGATTCTATAAAAAGTGGAGAGCTAGTGGATTGATCGGTCGCTGGTCTAATAACTAATGACTGCCTACAGTTTTCTGTGTTCCTCTTTTAGCACTTTAATGGTAGCTGCTCCTGCGACTCTCGAAATATTTGCTTTTAGTATAGTGTTTAGTTAGTTACGGCCTTAACATCCTAATTATGCTTTTCAAAATCACTTTTACGGTTTAAACGGGGACCTCCTTTTGATAATTTAGCTAGGTTTGCTATTAGTTTGGCTCGAAATAAAGAATTTTTTTTAGCTGGACTGCTGGAGAAATGTTCTTCAAATGTTCCGTCTGCAAATTGGCTGCTGTGTTTAGTTAAATTTAATATCAAAAGGAATGATATATATGAATAATATATATATATAAAAATAAAACAATGCACTTCCTTTGCTGATGGCCCCGTGCTTTAGCTTTACATTGGCCCATCGATGGCGCTCACTTTAAGGCGGAAATAGTAGGCGGAGCGGGCCAGCATGCAACCCGCGATCACGAACAGCGCCACATAGAGGAAGTACATGCCGCCGTGATCCTGCAAAGAAATAAGGTAAAGAAATAAATATTTATTTAAAGGGGAGAACGTTTTGTGTTGCTTACCGAAGCAATCGAGTATGTTCCGGCGGTCACGCCGATGCCTGCGATGAGGAACACCAGCGCCACAATGGCAAACATCACGCCGCGGCTATTGGCGAAGCGCGAGCCCACCGATGAGACCTTCCTGCAGTGTGGACAGCGGGCCAAGGCGTTGTGATACGTGTTGAACTAAAAGAGCAAGCATTAGAATATTCATTCGGGGTTCCTTCTAATAAATAGCTAACCAAAAACGTGTCCGAACAATGGCCACAGGTGACGCGGCACATGCCCGGCATGGTGGGCACGGGCGGGGTGACGGGACTGGGGGCCAGATTGATGATCCTCTTGCAATTTGGCCTTGGACAAGCTATGCGCTGCGAGGAGCTCTTGCAGATAAGCAAACAGTTGCATGGGCAGCGAACGTACTTCTTGCCCGGCGGAGCATTCCGAATGGGCTGTAGATATGCAAAAAGATAGTGATATATCTAGGGATTTAACAAAGTACAACTTACAGTTGCCTCATTGCAGTGGGTGCACTTGACCACGTGCTGCTCCCGCTTCGTGGTGATGTCAATCATGTGCTGACATACCCGACAGGTGACCATGGGCACGCCTCCGGTATTGGTGCTCTGTTGATACGGCGGCGGCAGCTCATCGGGTCCAATGCAAGGCACCGCCGTCGGTGCTCCATTGCCTGAAATTCCATTAAAAAAGAAAAATTATTAATACAATGAAACGCCTTAATTGTTGCCCTGCAATGTCTAGACCTTTGGTGTAAAATAAATACATCTCGCCAGCAGAGTTCCCTTAACCACACTGCTCATCATCTGGCGGAGATTGGCTGGCGGAGAGAGTGAGAACTGCATTTTCCGATAGTGTGTGGCTCGGAGAAGCTGCGATAAAGCCAAATGGGTCAATGTTTTGGCTCTATGAATGCAGCGTTCCTGTCTTGATATTAAACTAGTGCAGCTAGACCGCAGTTGTGGAACTCGGCTCTCGATCAAAACAAGTTCGAACTTTGTGCAAGAAGTATGTAAACATTAACAGGGCGGGAGGAAAAGACAAAGAAAGACGTCTTTAAAGTACACTTTCCTGGAAGGTCTTTTGATTCAAGGATCATTTTGTTAAAAACCATTAAAAAAAAAGAATTACTAGAAATTTCTGAGGTTTCGGTTCATTGAATTAAGATGTTTTTATAGTTCGCTTGTATGTAACTTGCATCGTAATAAATAAATAAATAAATATTAGTGGGTGAGGTGGCAGTTTATAATAGTTTTTGATTTTATAGTAAATATTCAGATTTAAATTAATTAAATAAAATATATATTTCATCTTACTTACAACAAGACCATGATATTAGGTAATGTACTGTGAATTTGGAACACATATTTTCAATAAAATAGTAGCCTTTTATCGTTTTTAAAAGTGACAAATGTCTTAATTTGTCATCAAAAGTAAAGTTTTAAATCGGATGAAAATGTGTTCTTTAAATAGATTTTACATTATTAATTTTCCTGAAAAAACCACAATCGCTGAGTAACAAAATTGTGATATTAAATACAGACTACAATTCTGAAGTTTCTCAAAGACAAAAAAAAAGTTTTAACAATTCACAACTCAGAAAATAAGATAAATATATTGGAAATGGGATAATTCTTTTTGGTACATTCCCAATAAAATTTTTTATTAAATTGGGGAAGTTAAAGTTCATTAAAAATGTAATGGAACCACCTCAAACATCCGATGCAACTGAACTCTTTTAAGAGTATTTTCATGATATGGCTGAGCTTTCCCTGAGCTGAAGATCAGGTTCCTTGGCAAACAATGGAGCCGCAGCTCATCGCAGGCCCTCTGTGCCTTCAATTTCGCCCTGTGCTGCGATAACGCAGCAAGTCAAACGGTGACTCATGGGGCTTGACTGCCCCCGCTTTGCCACCACTTTATCACCACCGCCAAATCGATTCTGATTAAACAGCTGTGAGGAACGCTACTTGCGCTGATTAAGGCGTCCTAGCATAAACAATAACAAAGGCGGTGCGAATATTTGGCCGATACCGGCATCGGGTTACTACAAAAGCCTAAACAGAAAAGGAATGTAACTCGAGACAAATCGTAAAACATTATACAATTTTTTAACTATTTTATAAGTGTGAAAAACCAAAAATGTTTCACAAAATTAAGGTTTTAAATCCTATTAATGATACTTTTTTTATACTTAATGTCAAAGGGAAATGTATGTCGCAATTTGTCAAAAATTATTATCATTTCATGTTATCATATCTGTTAATTATGCATTTTTGAAGTTGACTAACAAACGCTTAAAAAAATTAAAGTTAATTATTTTTTTTCCAAATTGAATAAGTTAAAAATACCGATTGGTCATGGATATATAAGTGATATATCAAATTGAAATGTTTTTGAAAATGATCTTAAGTGAAAACACATGTACATTTTAGATATCATTTTGGACCGATATCAGTTTTTCTCCCTGTGCTTCCCCCCACTTATGACTCAGTGGGGTGAAGTGTGAAAATGCAGAGTTAGAAGAGCGGACAACTTGAAATCACGGCGGGCGGATAAGTAGAGCGCCCGCACACTTGTTGGGTTTCCAATGCCACCCGGCTGACTGACTGGCTGATTGGATGCGGGTTGAATGCCCGGCTTTACAATAGCGATACGCACCGTCCTCGTTGGTGGCCACCGATGAGCTGCTCCCGGGATTGTCGGCGCCCTCGTCCACGGCGTCCACCGAGTTGTAGCCATTGCCGTCGTCCTTGTTGATCAGGCTCTGTCGCTCTGGGTCCGCCATACTGGATTATATCGCCCGATATCTGGATTATCTATATGTAGAGCAACTCCCGTTAGGTGGTCGGTTGCACTTCTTCTCGAGGGGGCTGCCTTTGTTGTTGCAACACGTATTCTTCAACTGGAAAATGAGTAGGAAACCGAAAGCTTAAACATTGTGCTAGATATTCTCCACTTCGCTATTTTCCACCCGAGTTCTTTGTTCCGCAAAACTGTCGCAGAAGAGTCACTTGTTCGTCGCGGTTTTCACTGTCGTTTTGTTGAAACACATCCTCCCTTTTTTCCCTTTTCGGCATGCGCCGCAATTAATCAATTCCCGACCGCTGCATGTGCAACGCCCACGCAGGCTCCTTTTGCCCACACTCACGCGATGGCCAGCGGTTTATATTGCTCGCAATTTAGCCTAATTGTTTAACAATTGCTGGCCATATTTGTGCTATATTTTACCTTATTTTTGTTGAAAATGCACTGCCGTCGCTGCGATCTGGCCACACTGTGACGGGCTACCTGGCAACTCTCGACCAGGTGGGTTGCCACTTACGGAACTGGTTCACAAGTGGCCCTGAACCACTTGCTCATTTGTGAACCAAAACAATTGCGCCTCGGTAAATAATAAATATGTCCAATACGGATAAAAACTGTAAAATTAATGACCATCAGGACTCGGAATTGTCTTCAAGTAACAGCAATAACACATCCACAAGCTCCAGTGACTTTGATACCAGCAGAAAACACAAATTACGTCGCAGATCCAGCCGAAATGTATCATTCCACTATCAGGCGCTGCCCATGCGTATAGTTGGCGATAATAATTCTGTGATAATAGCCGACATTCCCTGCTCTTCTCGGGATATAACTCTAAATTCCGCTCAGATAATCGCGGATAGTTCCGACTCAGAGTTCCACATTTCAAACGATACGAGCAACGACGAGCCGGCCAACAAATCCATAACTTATGCAGCGCGACCAATAGAAAAACCCGATTTGGAGTTTATAAGAAAGTTGCGAAAACGCAAACATCGGCCAAACAAAACCTTGTATAAAGATTGAATTTCAAATAACAACTGCTGACCAGGGCTGCCAAAGACAAACACGCGGCAGTTAGCCAACACTGGCACCGAAAACCAGGGTTGGCTAGTGCATTTTTGGAGTAGTGGTCAATTTTTACGAGCATAACTATTTACACTGATTTTATGTAAATAAAACAAATAAAACGTAGGAAAATTAAGTGCAAAGTGTAAGTAGGACACGTGGGCACGTGGGGAACATGATATTCCAGGCACAGCCACTGGAATAACAGGTGAAAATCGGCGATGATTTTATTTTCATGCTGCGCGTTGTTGTATGGGAAACTTCGTCGTAGCTGTTGTTGCTCATCCTCCTTTTGTTGTTGTTGTTCTTGCCGCAGCTGCTGCGTCACAAAAAGTGTTTATTTAGTTTGAATTTATTTACATTTTATTTAAAAGCAAAATCCATTTTGGAGCTCCGGAAAGAAGAAGAACAAAAGCAGGGAAAACACACCTGTTCCTAATTGATTTTTCACATTTTCCACCGATTTTATAGACTATTCAACTTGAACAACAACTGTGTTTTGGCATTTTAATCACAGCAATTAAAAACAAAGCAGCCAAAAAACACACACACACACATGCAGGAATAAGCCCAACCGTAGTACCTATAGTATCGATAAGAAATTACAAATTAAATCAATTCGAACGAACGAAATTTCAAACCCAGTTTGACCACCGATTAGTACACAAAAATCAAGGAGGAGAAAAACCCTGGAAATGGAGTCGCCACCGATGTTCAATAGTGTGGAAGATGAGTGCAGATATTGGAAGGAGCGATCCAAGCAGTACCACAAAGAGTAAGTGCTCTCTAAGATCTATAAGATCATCTTGTAACCCATATATTTCTATAACTTTAAGGTGGACAGATGTGAAACAGGAGTACGATGAGTTTGTGGAACAGTCACGCGAAATGGAAATCGAAATGGACGCCACTCTGGACCAGAAGCAGAGTATAATCAAAGATCTCACAGCCAAGCTCACAATGTTTGAGCGGGAAAACGAGTCTCTCAAGGTGGCTAGATCCTAGAAATCCTATTTAAAACCAGAGTTTTTATCAGAAGGTTTTATTTTTTTTATTTCTCACTTGGAAAAAATATTTGTAGATTTTTTTTTCTTATTGGTTGACTATTTCCATCATTTTTAGAGATCAACTTGAATTCCCTTCAGAAGGGAAAATGTGATATTTATTTAACTACTAGTTTTACAGAGACTTATGCTTTAGCATCTTAAATATCTGATAAAAACTGATCTATTAGATAGTAAACCATATTTGTAAATTTTTTTTATGCCCATTAGTTGACTATTTCAATCATTTTTAGAGATCAATTTGAATTCCCTTCAAGTGATATACAATGTGATATTTATTTGTCTACTTACCATCTTAAGTATCTGATAAAAGCTCTGATCGATTCGATTTTCAACCTAGAAACCATATTAACCTATTATTATAATCCCAGCTCAAGTTGGACTCGCACGGCATTGAAATGTCGAACATGGAGAAGCAGCTGGAAACGGTGAAGAAGGATCGCGACACCATGAAGGTGTATCTGCGGCAGTTAGAGCAGAAGAACGATGACTTGGAGCGTGCCCACCGCATTCTCAACGAGAGCATAGAGAACTTCGAGAAGATGTTAGATCAGGCCTACGAGAAGAACGCCCTGCTCGAGCTGGAAGTGGATGAGAAGGGATTGCTGCAAGAGAAGCTGCAGCGGCTAATGGATGAGACGAGAGGTGGGTACTTTATGGCCAAACGCCTTATTTTCTAGCTTATATTTGTACCCCATCCATTGCAGATCTCAAGCAGGAGCTGAATGTCAAGTCACGCTTTACCCCAGTGGTCAATGGAACGAGCATTCCCATTGCCACGGCCAGCGACACCAACACGGTGAACAGCTCGATGAACTCGTCCGCCTCGCTGCCAAACGGCATTGTGGCCAACGGCGAACTATCAAACCACGACAATACCGTCGCCACAAGAGCCACCAGCATCAGCGTGAACGCCCTCAACGGCAGCTTAGTTAATAAAAACGAATATAACCAGCAGCATTCGCTTAAAAGTAAGATACTCAGTTCCCTTAAGAAAACCAGACGTGTGCTAAAATTATCCAAGTCGAATCGCCAAACGTTCAAGCCTTGCATATGATTTTGTTTTCTCCATTTGTTTTTACTTGTTTGTCACAACGTTAGCAGGTTTAAGTTTCTCATTATTTGTAATCGCATTGTAAATTATTAAAATTAAGAGCACAAAGTGTGACGAGAGAGTTTGCGACATTTCTTGTAGGCGAAATTGTTTGCGTTCTGTGTCTGTAGCGTCTGTAGCTAAGTAGTTGACCAACTAACCACTCGACTAACCTGCTGTGTATGTGTGCTTCCTCTTGCAGATCCCGAGAACCAAATCAATGGCAATTCCATGAACCCCAGCTCCCGCACAACGGCGCTCAACATTGTGGCCGACATGTTAAGAAAACTAAACGTAAGTCCCTCCGAAAACTTTGAACCCGGCATGCTATCCCAACTCCCACTTCCCCCATGTTTCGTCAATACTTTTCCTGTACCCCCACACACCACCCACCTCCAGCTTATGTGTTTTTCCGTATGTTTTTTTAGTGGGACAAGGCCCTGCTATGTCCCGAGTGCGAAAAGTTTCGCTGCATTTGCGAGCGCCCGGCGACTCTGCAGCCGCCGCCATCGGCCAGCGAGTCGAGTCTCTTTCGCCGAGCCTTTGGCGGCAGCAGCAGCTCAGTGGCCGCCAGTAGCGCCCAGTCCACGCCCGCCAGCGACTGCAGCTCCTCCGGCAGCCTCAATGCGGGCTCAAACATTTTCAAGCGCTTCGCCGAGCGCATGCGCAACTCACCGGACGCCAGCCTGCCGCTCTGACATTGCGCCACGATCTATAAGGCTAATTTTAGTTGCCCTCCGCTTGCATTTATTAATTGCATTGGTTAATAAATACAAATTATTTTTGTACCTTATTTTGCGGTCTTTGCTTTTGTTTTTTAAGCACTCGTAGTCTTATTTTAAAGGCACTTTCCTGTTAGTAACCTTATTTAAGAGATAAATCTTGGAGATTCCATGCGTATAGCTACTCCATTCGAGTTTTTGCCATAATGGGCTGTTATTTAAAGTGGAATTCAACTATTTAGAATAACCTATAAGCGTAAAAGGACCAGGGGAACCAGAAATTCACCAAAACAAGCTGTAAAATATTTTATTTTATTTTCTTTGACACATTTTGTGCGGTAATTCCAATTTAGTTATAATGTGCATTGATTATTTTGCCTTTGTCTAATCCCCTGTCTCATCTGTATTTCTTACAGGCCATGGAGACGAAACTGAAGACGTACCGCGAGAATGGCCAGCCGATGCCCCAGCGGCTCCGCTCCGCCCAGCAGTCCACCCATCCGGCGCTGGCCGGACTGCCTTGCCTCTCGCTGGATGCCGAGTAATCACCGCCTACCTACCCCCAGCCTCATCCTCAAACCCAGCCCAAAAAGAAACAAGGACGGGATACTGTTCAGTTGGCTTTACGTTTACGTTACGTTACTTTAATGTTACTGTTAGCATTAATTTAGCTCCTGCTGCCTCTTTATTTATTTGACCTAACTTGACTTTGTATAAACCATTTGCGATATTATAAATTACACAACAGTTGATGTTGTCGTTTCGAGCCCAACATGTAACATGCCTTAGTACGAATTAAGAGTATATACCTAAGCTAAGTCCCCCACTCGGTTCACTTTGACTTCAATTGTTAACTGCAACGCGATTGTTTTTCGGCATACAATGTGTTTAGCGAGTAAGTTTAAGGAAGATCACCCCAGCAAAAAAAGCGAAGAAGCTCTGTCCAAGTATTATACTTCAAGCGGACAACCAATACTCGTAGCGTTTAGGAAAAAAGACAAGATCTAACCCGAAAACCGACAACCGATCATCTAATTATACTGTAACTATCCGAAGAGCTATTTTCTGTTTATATTTACGAGCGAATATAAATTTGTAAAAATGCAACAAAAAAATTGTTAACGGCAAACTGTATAAAGCATAACAAGAATCCAACGAACAGGCAAAAATATATATATATATGTGTATGAATAAAGAGCAACATAATTAGTTTAATAGAAACCCACACGCACTTCAATGTCAAAGCTGCGTGCGTTGCAGCTAATTAGTTTTAAATAATATTTGAGTTTATTACACAAGGTGAATGCTGCGTCAATTCCTATGCCAAGGCCGAATTCCCGAATTGGAAAGCTTTTCGCAGGGGAACTTCCCCGTTTTTAGACCCATTTCGTTGCGGATTTTTGCGGAGCTTTACCCCATGGATGAAGTTAAGATGGTGGATGGAGTCGGTTTGCTGGCTGGTGGGTGAAATAAACTGGATCTGAAGCCGACCTTGCTGGCGGAAGGTCCGTTGGCGGTAAGCTAATGAAAGTACTCTGGTTTTCAGAGAAGTAAGCAATGGGTTAGCGACGTCGAGTGCTGGCATTAAGTGAGCCAGCGTGGATGGAAAACTTCTTCTCAGATGGAAAATCTCCCACAACAAAAGCAGAAAAAAATGGAAGAAAAATGAAAATATGACACAAGCTTTTATCATACGCATAGCACTTACCAGGGAAAAAGGACGGACTTTCTGGTGTTGCTTCTGCTCTTGTTTGCTGCTGAGTGCATTGTTTACTGGAGGGGCAGGGAATGTGGGCGGTCGAGGTGGTCCAGGGGGCGTGGCAGCAACCATAAGCGGATTGGGAATGGCACAATGCAATTGCCGTTTGAAATAAAAGTAAGCAGACACAAAGCCAGCCTGGCATGAGTGCACCGGGAAACAATTTCGATGCATATTTGGAGATCGTTTCATAAAGCTTGAATTCGAAATGGAGTTGGTATGTAAATATTTGAATTAAATATTTTTGAATAGAAAGCTTTGGAGCACTTAAAAGTACAACAAATTCTAATGTAGGCATTTTTCCACTAGTATAGCAAGTATATTTTTAGGGAATACAAATTAATGGTATT